CCCCCGCCCCCCCCCCCCCAACCCCTCCCCTCCGTGGCAAGCGGGGCTCGAGGGGATCCCGCTATGGGTTCCCCCACGCTGCAGGCGGGATGGGGACTGACGGATGCCCGCCAGCATCGCAAAGGGACCCTGGTGGCACCCAGCACCCCAAGCCACGGCCGTGCCCCAGCCGGCAAGGGTTAACCGGCGTGGCTCCTCGCTCCCAGCGGGGCCAGACCACAAGGCAGCTGCTGAGCTGTAACGAAGCAGCCCGTGGTCTGATGTTAATCACGCTGCTCAGCTCACGGAGGCCGTGGCCTGCCTTCACCCCATCGTCCCCCAGCCCTGCCAACCCCCAAGTGCCATGCTGTGCCGGAACCGTGCCGAGCCGTGCCGGGGGAGGCTGTGCGGAGCGGCTGTGGTTTATGTAAAGCGTGCGAGCTGTGCGCGGGGTGTCCCTGGGACACAAGCGCTTGTATGTTACATAAATCCGCCTGGTGCTGCTGGCACCAGTTCTCCCTCCCCCCCCCGCCAGCGCCCTAGTCCCTCACTGGGAGCCCAGAAATGGGGCACCCACCTGGGGGACATGCTTGACCCCCTCCCCTGGGAATGCTGCCCCGTGCACCCGGCTGGAGCATCGACCCCCCCATGGGAATGGGCAATGGGGTGGTGGGAGCTGGTGGGTTTGGGGGTGGTGGTGTGTCTTGTTGCTGGGAGGTACTGGTGCTGGGGGGGTGTGCATGTGCGTGGGGGGGGGATGCTGTGTGGGCACCGGCAGGGTGATGGGTCCCGGCTCTCACCCAGCGGGCTGGGGGGGCTCGGCTGGGGATGTGTGCAAGCCCGGTGGGCTGCAGGGCAGGGGTTTGAGGAACCCCAGGTAGTCCTCAGCCCTCAGCAGCGTGGGGATGCTATCATAGCAGCCTCGTGCTTCGTGTTAGCCCCTTGGCACCCCTTGGATCGCATCCTGCCCGGCTGTCGCGGGCTCTGCAGCCAGGAGGGGAGGCAGAGGAGCTCTGCCTTCATCCCAGGCAGCCGAGGAAGGATGGCAGCAGCGGGACAAGGCTCAGCCGCGAGGCGGGACGACCTTGGACTGTAGCACGGGCGAAGTGGCAGCGTGGGTTGAGGCCAGATCCCTACCATTTGGGCAAAACTGAAGGGGTCGTGAGCTCCTGGGACCTCCCCAGCCTGCGGGGTGGCCGCGTGCTCCGTGCCAGGCATGCCACCGCCAGCCCTCCCCGGCATTGGGGCTGGGGTGTTTGGCCCATCCCGGTATTTCTCCCGTTCCAGTTTCGCCCGGAGCGGGCGGCCGGCGTCTTTCATCGGTGACGGGGCGGCTCGGCCGCGTTGCCGAACAAAGGGTGCTTTCTTCGTGCGGGGCAGAACACACCTGCCCGCCTTGGCACGGCCGCCCGCTGCCTGCGCCGGTGCCCCCGGGGCTGGGCGGCACTGCCAGCACCGTGCCGGTTCCTGGGCGTCAGCAGCCCAGTCGCTGTGGGAGCCGGCGGAGGCTGCACGTTCGCAAGGAGCAGAGCCGCCACCGCCGCCTCGTCTTGCCGTCCATCGCCCCAAGATGCTCAAAGCTGCCTAGAGCCGGGGGAAGGTCCCGCTTGCCACTGCCGTCGTTCCCTTGGGTGCCCCGATTCCCCCCCGCTATCCCTCCTCCCTGGCACACCGGGAGCCTCCGCTCGTAGGACAATAGGCAGGAGGAGCACGGAGCCTCCCAGGCCAATGGATCAAAAACTTCAGCTCCAGCATTCGGAGAAGAACGTCCCCAGGGCTGCCCGGGTGGCTTTCTGCCTCCTCCAGATCCCGGAGCCAGACCCCTTCAGCCTCTGGGTCTAGGTACTCCAATCTGTCCGGCTTCACCTCTCCGGGACCCGGTGCCGCCAGCAGAGACACCGGCTTGTCCTCGCCGCCGTAGGGGAGGCGGTGGGGTCCCCGATGGACTCTCCAGGTAGCTGGCTGTGCTGTGGGACGGCAGGGATGCTCGCCAAGCTGCCGGACTGTTTTTTTGTGCTCTGGATGGGATAAAGGGCAGGGAACATTGTTGCACCGGCGAGCCTGGGGGAGCTGGGGGGATCCTGGGGATGGCATGTGGTGGGACAGCCTTGGGGCACTAGGAGGGAGATGTGCTGGGAGCATCTTCCCAGTATGGGGCTGGATGGGAGAGCCTGGCAGGGTCCCATGCTGTGGAGGGACAGGGTGGGTGTGCTTGGGGTGCCCCTGCTTGGGCAGGGGTGCTTCCTGAGCAGGGGCTTGGGCAGCAGTGTGGGAACGGGGACTTTGACCATCCCTGGGTAGATGATGTGAGGGGAAGAGGCAGCTCTGGGGATGCAGGCTCCTCCTGTCCCGTGCTCCGGTCCCTGTCCCCATCCTTGGCTGCCTGCCCGGCCATCGAGGTGGCTCGGTCCCATCCCAGAGCAGGGCTGCAATTTTGCAGGGCCCCATGCCTGTCCCCCTCGGCTTCTCTGGCTGCTGGGCAGGGAGGGCAGGAGGGCAAGGGGTGGCGTTTGCTCCGCCGGGAAGGGATGCAATCGCGGGCTGCTGCAAGGACTGGCTCTGAACCCCGCATCTGTGTGTGGCCTGGGTCCTGGAGGAGTGTTAATCCAGCAAATCCCCCCAGGCATTTCTACCAGGAGGGGCCTCTGGGAGCTGGGAGCTCCCCCCTTGCTGCAAGCCCTCCTGGGAAGCGCAACCCAGCCCTGACCGGAGGCGAATACCTGCGCAGGGCAAGGTCTCCCCACGCTGGGTGCCAGCGGCCGGGCACGGGGCCAGGCTGGGTGCGGAGGGACGGGGTGGGCACGAGGTGCGTCCCGGCCGCCAACCCCGCCGGGCTGGGTGCAGGAGGGACGGGACGGGGTGGGGACCCACGCTCCAGCCACGTGCCCTCCCGGATCGTGCATCCCTCCGGATGCCGCGGGGCATGGGAGACCGGGATCCCCTCGCCGTGCCAGGGAACCTCCTATCTAGCATGGGAGGATGGAACTGGGGGGTTGAAAACACCCACTCCCCAAACACCAACCACCACCGTCCCCGTGCCTCAATTCCCCCCCATTGCAACCCCTGCACGGCTGCCCTGGCAGGGTTCGGTGCGGTGTGGCATGCCCCGCTGATGCCCCACTCCCTGCCCGCAGGGTCCGGCCAGCCCGGGACGCCGCTGAGCACCACATGAGTGGCAGAGCAGGATGGCCAGCAAAGCGAGGATGGGGGAGACCCCGCCGAGGTGGAGGAGAGCCCAGGAGGCAGTGCAGGACGCCCGGGGAATGGAGAGCAGCGGGATGGTCTTGCCCCGAAGTGCCGCTGCTGAACTGGGACTTCCAGGCTGCCCGGAACCCGGCAAGCTGAGCTATGGAACGGAGAAGGGGTGTTCCTGGAGGGGCTCCGAGGGATGCTTGGGGCCGGGTCAGGAGCTTGCCGGTGGCCAGCTGGGCTGCCCCTACCCGCCGGCCCCACCGTGCCTGCGGGACGCCTTGTGCCGCCCCAAGGATGGAGCTGAGCTCCCGCCGCTGCTGCCACCCAGGAACGGGCAGCCCAAGGCAGGCTGGGCTGAGCCCTGCAAGGAGCACCCGGGGCCACGGTGGGCTGAGGCCGTGCTGGCCCCCCTGGCCCTCTACAGCCACGCTTACCACCGCTACCCCTTGCCCTTCCCGGGGCTGGAGAGCCAGCGCCCCAGCACCGCCGGCAAGCCTCGCACCACTGTAGGAGATGGGGCCAGTGACCCCCTGGCTTTCCGCCACTGCCCCTTCCTCCTGTCCTCGCTGCTGCCCGCCGGACCCCCAGCCGACCCCCCGTTTGGTGGGGGGGGGCCGGAGGGACCGGGGGCGATGGGCGACGGGCGCTTCGCCGGCATGGACTGGCGCCTGGGCTCCTACGTGCCCGCCTGGGGCCAGCCGCTCTACCTGGGGCTCCCGCCAAGGTGCAAGGCGGCTCCGACCCCCTTCGATGACTGCTCCGGCTCAGGGAACAAGGTAGGTAACCCCGGACGGTCGTGACGGTTCCCGGTTCCGATGGCGGCACAGCTCTGGCTCCCACGGCCTGGGTCCGGAACGGGGATGCTTGGAGCTCGGCTCTCCGGTGTGCCCAGGCTCCCCTGGGTGACGATGGGCTCCAGCCTCAGCTGAACCCGGCTGGGAGCGGCGAGTTGCGAAAGGCGATGCTGGCACCCGCACCCAGGGCAGGGCCGGGCTGCACCCGGCGTCGGCGGTCCCCGAGCGGGCTGTCCCCCCCCGCTCGCTCCTGCAGCTTGGCAGAGGGGTCCCAGCCCCCCCGAAGGATGGGGCAATGCACCCCTTGTGGGGGATGATGCTCTCCTGGCCGGGGCAGCCCTGTGGCGTGATACAAGCCCCCGGGCTGAGTCACGGCGGCGGGAGCCGTGGCACGGAGGCGGTGAGAGGCAGCGCTGCCAGCCCGTGGGTGCGCCCGTCGCACCCCGTGCCGCTGCGGCTCCCCATTCCTTTCCCACGCGGGCAGGGGTGACACGGGCACCCCATGGACTTGGCTACCTGGGACTGGAAAGCACCAGGCAGCTGCCCAGCTTGGGAGGGTGGTGGTGGGAAACTGAAGCAGGGCCAGGGGCTGTTCCCTATCACCACCTCCCAATGATGTGGGTGATGGAGGCAGGGACGGGCACCCACGTCTTGGGTGACACCAGCCTTGACAACCCCTCTGCTCCCCTCCAGGAGTTTTACCCGAAGAAGGAGCCTGGCTTCCACCCCCCAGCCAAGGACCAAGCGCCATCACAACTGCTGGGCAAGGGGCAGGACAGAGATGGGGAAGGGGAACCGGTGGTGCCGGAGCTGCCGGGAGCCCCGTGGAGGGATGGCCGAGCAGGGGCCAGCTCGGTGGTGCCCGCTCCCCATGCCCGCACGCCTCCCCCCAGCACCAGCCACCCCCTCTTCCTCCTGCAGCCCGGCGCAGCGGGGGGCTGCGGGGGTCCCTGGGTGGGCACGCGGCCCCACGCCGCTGATTTCCCCCCAGAACCGGGGCCAGGACGGCCCTCTGAACCCAAAGATGAGCGCCTGGCATACCAAAGCCTCCAGCCCAGCTCGCCGCTGGGACCAGAGGAGCCCAACCCATCGCCTCCGCTTACGGACGGGCAATACCCGATGGCCCTTGCCAAGCCGGAGCCGCCCCCGGCTTGCCTTTGCACCACACCGGGTTGCGATGGGTGCCCGGGGGTGGGCTGTGGGGTGCTCGGCCCTTTTGAGCCCACCCTGGGCAACCCTGGGGGCCGTTTTCCATGCCCACCCACCAACCACACCAAGCTAAAGAAGACCTGGCTGACACGGCACTCGGAGCAGTCGCTGCCGCGCTGCAAGGCTCCCCGGCGGGACGGTGGCCTGGAGCTGGCTGGTGAGGGCAAACGCTCGGCCAAGCGCCCGCACGGCACAGCCGACGGACCCCGGGCTGCCGGCGAGGGTGCCGGGGCAGCCAAACGGGGCGCGAAGGCCACCGAGCACATGGCCGCGGCATGCCTGGGTGATGGCACAGAGAGTGGAGGGGACCCGGAGGAGAGGAGGATGGAGCTGGGAGAGGGAGGTAAGGTGTGGGGGGGTGCACCGTGGGGCAGGGGAGAGGGCGGTGGCAGCACCAGATCCCTGGGGAAGTTTGGCATCCTGGTTCCCAGCGCCCGCAACACGAGGTGTGAACACGTGAAGGCTGGGAAACCTGCTGTGCTTTGGTTTTTCCCAGTATGGCTGGGTCTGGCAGTGACTCCCAGGGCAGGGATGTATAGAAATGCCCCTCTGGGGCAGCGTGGCACCCTCGGGTGTGATGCCCGGGATGGGTGGCAAGCGTCATCGCTGGGTCAGAGCCTTCCTTGGCGAGGTGCCGGTGTCTCAGCCCTGACCTCTGCAGATCTCCAGCCCTACTTTCCAGCCCTACTTTCTGGCCCAGTTTCTAGCCCCTGCCATGGCGTGCCAGTCCCTCCTGGCTAGTGTGTCCCCATGCACGGTGTCCCAAAGCACCTCCCGTCTCCCCCAGACTCGCCGAGCCATGCTGGCCCGGAGCTGCGGGAGCCGTGGTGCCTGCAGAGCGTGCCCTGCACCGACCTGCCCGAGAGCATCCCCCGGTGCTGTGCCTGTGCCACCCGGGCCACGGGGGACCCCAAGGGCGAGGAGGAGGAGGAGGAGGAGGATTCCCCTGAGAGCACCTGCAGACTGCTGCATTTCCGTAGGTGAGCCTGGGGCTCCTGGGGAGCTCGCAGCCCTGGCCAGGGTGGGGGGCTCCCAGCAGCCCATGTCAAGATGCATGGAGCATCCTCTCCCATCACTCTGCTTTGGAGCATCCCTTCCTGTCACCCCACTTTAGAGCATCCTCTCCCATCTCCCCAGTTTAGAGCATCCTCTCCCATCTCCCCGGTTCAGAGCATTCTCTCCCATCACTCTGCTTTGGAGCATCCCTTCCCGTCACCCCACTTTAGAGCATCCTCTCCCATCTCCCCAGTTTAGAGCATCCTCTCCCATCTCCCCGGTTCAGAGCATTCTCTCCCATCACCCTGCTTTGGAGCATCCTCTCCCATCACTCTGCTTTGGAGCATCCCTTCCTGTCACCCCACTTTAGAGCATCCTCTCCCATCACCCCACTTTAGAGCATCCTCTCCCATCTCCCCAGTTTAGAGCATCCTCTCCTGTCACCCCACTTTAGAGCATCCTCTCCCATCACCCTGCTTTGGAGCATCCTCTCCTGTCACCCCACTTTAGAGCATCCTCTCCCGTCTCCCTGGTTTAGAGCATCCTCTCCTGTCTCCCCACATTGGAGCATCCCCTCCCGTCCCCTCTCTCCCACAGGTTTGCCTTCAGGGATGGCGGAGAGCTGGGTGTCGATGGCTTCTGCACCCTGGGGGAGACGGAGGGGGACACGCTGCGGCTGGAGGCAGCCGGCCCCGAGCGAGGGAACAGGAGCGCAGGCAGGAGCCTCTGCCTGGCCAAATACTTGCTGGGGGTCCTGGGGGACCCCTTCTGCGAGGCCGTCCGCAGGGACAGGGACGTGTGGCCGGGAGCCCCCGGCAGGCCCGAGGGTAAGTGGGTACCGGGGTGTTGGGGGGGTGACTCTGGGGGCACAGGGGAGGCTGAGAGCCATGTTTCCCACAGGGGTGACGGCCTGGAGGCGGGGGGAAGGAGCCCCCCAGCTCTGCGACGCCTGCCAGCGTGGCTTCTTCAACTCCCACTGGAGCTGCGCCAGATGGGGCTTCCCGCCGTGCCCCCAA